TCTTCTTAAATACAGTCTCAGGACTTGGAATACTAACCCCAAGCTTTGAGGTTCAGAAATTAGTTTTACATTCATAGTTTTAATTCTCACAGCCAACAGTTTCCTTTCCAAAGCTCACACATTATACTGGACATTTATCTTACTATATAGCACATTCTTTCTCATTTGTGGGTATGTCTTTTCTTCCAGGTTTCCTCTCCCTAATCTGTTATTAGAAACATGTCATATGGAATTGTATATCCTTAGTGTCTGTTGTTTAACATAGGAAAATTTTGATGAGCAAATGAAAAATGTGTTATATAATCAAAGAATTATTAAAATTGAGGCACAAATCTGGACTTCATATCAGCTTTCCATGTGGAATTTCCATTTTTATCAGCATTTATGTTACTACAAGGAAATGTTTGTGACATGATGTTAATGAGTGAAGGGCATTGATTCATGGTTCTAGAGGTTCAAGTGCAAAGTCAGGCAGCCTCAGTGGCTGGGCATCTGTTGAGAGAGGCAGATGGCAACAGTGATGTGTGTAGCGAGGGAGGATCAGATGGTAAACAAGAAAGCAAAGAAATGCCTCATAATTTATTTTTATGGGAACAAGATCAGGGACATATGAAATTAAAAATACCACATTCCCACCAGGCCCACCCTAAAATATCATCCCCAGATGTATTTTTTACCCCTCTTGATACCATTAACTTAAGACTTTACAGATAAACGATCTACCTTTAGCAGCTGGGGAACCAAAGCCTGTCTAAACTATAGCAATTTCCTTCTAGAAACAATTTTCTTCCAGATTAAAAAAAAAACTCTCTATTTTACTCCCAATCTCACCAATTCCTTGCAGACTTTCCTCTTTAACATTTGCCTCAAATACCTGTGTATTCATCTCTATACTCCTTCAGTGCTCACATACCTGCCAGGTCAGTCTCTTCTTGCCCCACTCTAAAGTCTTATTCCTATGCTGCCCCAGTCTCCAGGCAAGCCTAGGTCACAGCATCCAGCACATCATTCTGCAATGGTTGCTTATATATCTGCCATTTTCACCTGATTAGAAATCCCTTAAAGACAGCATCTTTATCTGTGTCCACATGGTCTGCACAGTGCCTGGCAACAGCAGGCACTCAAAACAGTTTGTATTTGAATGGGAAAAACAAGAGTCTGCATTCTAGAAAGTTATTTTAGCATAGCCTGCTGATTTGGTCAATAGATAAGTTGGTCATTGAGCACTTACTATGCTCCAGCTTCTAAATAGAATAAAGTCAATACATTCGAGCACCAAGTTTACAGCTGATATAGAAGAAATATAATTTGGAAAACTGATGGAATCCATTGACAGGCCTCAGGCAGAACTATTTTAAACAGATTTTCTTCTCTTTGCATGATACTTCCCTAATCTTGTTCTAGTAAAAAATGTTCTTTCCTTTCTCAATGTAAGATTTCCTAAACTACCCCCTCAATGCCATGTATATATCTGCCTCAGAAAAATCACCCAATAATCTTCTTCCTTCCAAATATGACATGTCACATTTTGCAATTTTGCAATTACAACAAGTAAGCTAAAACAATAAAAAATAAAATGGTTGCTTATGTGATGGATAAATGAATGTTTGTGGATGGCATTCCTATCTCATAGCGATCGTTTTCTAAGACAAGGGTTCTACTCAAAGTCATGGGAAAAGCCTTTTAAAGGCACAGAACAGACTAAGCAAGGTATGACCAAAGAGCTTGCCATCAGTCACAGGTAAAGGAACCCACAACATTCTGGACTGGTCAAGGCAGCAGCACCCGAATGTGCATCCTGAATAGGGTGTGGGGTGGGCCAGGCTGCAATATTCACCAGCTCATACAAGGCCAAATGGAAGGCCAGACTGCTCCAGACACTGGCCTAAAACCCAATGGCATGTATGAGAACTGGGTCTGGGAGTGGATCAAGTGAAGGCATTTGGGAAACTGCTCTGGTGAGTCATAGCTCCCACTGGTGAACACGTGGTCCAGACCTGGGGATCGGACAAGTTGGGCAAAGTAGCTCCAACAGTTGGCTAATGTATAAATTGGTAATGGAACGGGATGTACTGGGCAGGACTGAGCAAACCTTAGCCCACAAGCAAAACTAGAAACCAAGATGGAGCACAGGTTCATGCCGAGCTAGGCTCTTGCATCTACTGGTCTGTGTGAGTCAGGGACGCTAAGCCACAGTATCTAAGGCAGAGGCCAGGACAGGTGAGGGGCTAAGCTAAGCTGAGTCAGAGCAACCACTGGCATGCATGTGATCTATGGCTGGGAGGAGGCCCAGTTGGGGATTAAGGGGACATCCTAACGAGGTGGAGGTTCCCACCAAGGGAAGCACGAGCTGGAATGGGGACTGCTTTCTGATCAAGAAACGGTTGTAGTCTCCCTTGGCACAAGTGTGGACTGGGACTGGATGCACCAAGCCAGGCCAGACTCCAATAGTATCTGGTGTCCTGGAGGACCAGGGTAGATGTGGGATGGACTAGGCTAGGTCTCAACCTCTACTGAGCCATGTGTGAACCATATGTGGGTATGGACGAGCCATGGCTGGGCTGAAACATCCAACAGCAAGGACCAGCTTGGGTTGAAGGCCAGTCAGGAAAAACCACTGTTTCTGCTAGGACAGTAGGTGAACTGAGTAGGGCTGGCTCATGGACTCCCTGGTATGCACAAAATCTGGCATTGGGAGGGGTTCTGATGGAGGAGCCTGGGCAACTGCTCTGGCAGGACACAGATCCTGCAGGTAAGCACAAGAAGCATGATAGGAAACAGCCCAGAATAGGCCATGGAAAGCTTCCCACTGGCATACATTTGGCACGGGTTGGGGGCAGACCAGACTGAATCAGTTCACATCATCCACTGGCAAATCTGAGCACCAGAACAGAGTGTGGGTCAGGCCAGGTTGGGACGCGACATAAACCAGTGCATAATATGGAATGCCAGGGTGAGGTTGCCTGTACCGGATGTGACCACAGCGCCCAACCAGCATGAGTGAGAACCAGAAAGGGAGGAGGCAGAGCCTGCAGGAGGGAATAAGATGGGGGGGTGGGTTCCCTTGCTCAACAGCTACTCCCACTGGAGCGTGTGAGCTGGGATGGGGCAGACCAGACTAAGCAGGGTTACAACACCTGTGTGTTCCATGTGGACTAGATCAGGGAAAAGCCAGGCTGGCTGATTATTCCTACTGGTGCAAACAAAATTAGAGTGGGTGAAGGCTATTTGGGCTTAGCCACAGTATCAGCTGGCAGAAGCTGGTACTGGGGGCTAATTCTGTCAAGTCAAACCACAGAACCACCTGGAGAGTGAATAATCCAGGAATGGGAGAGGCCTGGGAGGGAAATAGTGGGCTCCTCCCTCTTGGGTTACCACTTCCACGGGAGGGCATAAAACTAGGGCAGGGGGGCCTGGCGCGGTGGTGCAAGTGGTTAAAGGTCCTCGCCTTGCACGCCCGGGATCCCATATGGGCGCCGGTTCTGATCCCGGCAGCCCCGCTTCCCTTCTGGCTCCCTGCCTGTGGCCTGGGAAGGCAGTCAAGCACGGCCCAAGGCTTTGGGAACCTGCACCCGCGTGGGAGACCCGGAAGAGGCTCCTGGCTTCGGATCGGCATAGTATCGGCCCGTTGCGCTCACTTGGGGAGTGAATCATCGGACGTAAGATCTTCCTCTCTGTCTCTCCTCTCTGTATATCTGCCTTTCCAATGAAAAAATAATAAAAATAAATCTTTAAAAAAAAAAAAAAAACTAGGCCAGGGGCTGGGGTGGCTAGACAGATTGGCACTCAACAACATCCATGAGGGCTGGATAGTCGAGCTGGTTAGATGGAACTAAGCTTAATACCCATAGACATGTACGAGAGCCAAATGGGATATGGGACGGACTGGACTAGTCTGCTACACATACTGGCAAACCAGGGTAGGGGGTGGGCCTGGTGGGGGTTATCGTGGGTCTCTCTGATTAGGCTACAGCTCCCACTGGTTTATGTGAGGGCTGAGAATGTGCTGGGCAGAATCAGGCTGGACTGCAACACCCGTTGGTTCCAGTGGAAGTTGGGACTGAAAACAGAACAACCCAGCAATTGCAACTACCAGCTGACTGGGGTGATGGACTGTGCCAGGCCCTGTGCTTGCTAGTACATACAAGAATCTGGTCTGGCAACACCTTAGACAAATTTTCTTTGTGAATCCCTCCAATTGAAATGCTGGACTCGGAACCCTAACCAAGAAAAGACAGAAGACAGAACAAGTCAATCAACTACCTCAGCTATATATTGGCAGCAAAATACTGGGCAAATGGAGACTCTATGAGGGACTATGTCAATCAGAGAATTCTTCAACAAGCTCATCATGCTTGGAGTGGCGAGATTGGCAACGATTCATAACTGGTGAACTATCAAAACCAGTTGAGCAGGACCCTCAGAGCGTGCCCCACATCCAGGACCTGGGATGTGTGGGAGACTGGGTGGGGCTTCTCCCTCAGTATCCCACTTTACCTCAGATACATGAAGAAAACAATATGAAAATAATAGTCTTACCCACTTTCCTATAGCCCTTGAACCTTCTTACCCTAATTAACTATGTAATGATAGTCAAAAATTTAATAAAAATGAAAAAAATTTAAAAGATAAATAGAAGCACAGAATCTTTCAGAAGCCCCGAGGCCTTCCCTGGGATTTGCTCTGGTATTAGGGAGGTGATGGAGCCTGCTGGTTAGAGCAGCTTTGAGACAGAAATCCCAGCTCTTCCACTCATTCATCTTCTGATCTTAGGCAACCTCAGTGGTGTCAAGAGTTATACCTCAAAAATGAAATCTTAATAAGACCCACCTCATGGGCAGATTGGGAAGGATAAAATGGTTAAGATGGGTGAAAGTCAGCAGTAAACAACTTCATGTAATTGTTGCCAGCATTTTTATTGTTCCCAAAGTGCGTTCCCAAAGAACCTGAAGCAGCAGATTCTCTGGGGCCCGAGAGGTCAAAGAAGGGCAAACACTTACTGATTTGGTTGTTCAGCTTGAAGGCAATGTCCAGTTGCAGGATGAACAGCATGAATTGGAACCAAGGACTCATCTCCATGGCTGGCAGAGGAATGTGGACAGAAAACACAATGTCGTTGGCTTCGATTTCTCTTGGAATTGCCTCCTCGATGTCACGGATCTTGTCACACTGATTAGGTCCCCAAGGCATTAACCACTTGGTCTTGTGATGGTTCTTCCGGACATCCACACATTTCACTGATAGATAGGACACTGCTGTCGTGGGTCCTGGGGCTGAAAAGAAAAAGGTTTTCCATTTTAGTGAAACCATTGCTGAAGAAGTCATTCCTGTTTAATGTTCATCCTACTTCTTACTTCTCTCCAGTAGAAGTACTGAAACCTCCAGGGGATTTTAAATATCCCCAAGCACCCAAGCCCTCCCATTTTGTTTTCCACCATTGTCCTTTAAAAGTACACTTTTTAATTTAATGAATTAATTAATCTTTTAATGATTTCTTTATTTTTATTGGAAAGGCAGATATATAGAGAGGAGGAGAGACAGAGGGGAAGATCTTCCATCCAATGTTTCACTCCCCAAGAGGCCACAATGACTGAAGCTGAGCCAATCTGAAGCCAGGAGTTCTGGGTCTCCCACACAGGTGCAGGGTCCCAAGGGTTTGGGCTGTCTTTGACTGCTTTCCCAGGCTGCAAGCAGGGAGCTAGATGGGAAGCAGGGCTGCCAGGAATAGAGCTAGCACCCATATGGGATTCCAGCACATCAAGGTGAGGACTTTAGCTGCTAGGCTATTGTGCTGGGTCCCCAAAGAACACTTTTGTTACCATGTGGTGTGGTTAGCTCCTCCTTCCACACCACTGTCCAGGACTCAAGCATCTCAGCGGCCTTTGCCCAAGCGTAGGGTGTTCTGGCTTTTACAGAGATTGGAAGACCTGAGTCTGAAGCCTGGTGAAGCAACTTTATGCTAGTGAATCAGTTATATTAAGCACAATTTAGGGCCCTCATTAAGAATCAGGACAGCTGATCTCTAACATTCCCCTTTGCTCTAAAATTGTACAACACCGCTCTTGATTGAGGCAAAGAACCACACGGACCTGACTTAGGCACGTATCAGATGGCAGAAACCCAAACAATGACTGCTACTCCAAAGGAATGATCAAATACGAGCCTTACTTTTCAAGATAGAAATCAAATTTAAAATATATAACATGAAAAAACTACCATATGTGGACTGGCTTTGTGAAGCTAGTTTTGGCAGCCCATAACCTGTACCAGAATACCTAGCCCTAGTCCAGGCTGCTCTGTGGTCAATCCACCTTCCTACTAATGCATATAGCTGAAGTTCTTGAGTTTCAGCCACTCATACAGGAGACCAGACAACGTCTCTGGTGCCTGGCTCCAGCCTGGTCTAGTTCAGACTGTAGTGGCCATCTTATGGGTGAACCAGTAGAAGGAGGCTTAGGGTGTGTGTGTGTGTGTGTGTGTGTGCGTGTGTGTGTGTGCATCCTCTCTGTCACTTTTTCAAATAAATTAATTAAACTAAAAATTCACATTAGTATATGACTATAAAATAGTTACATGATCATAACTGAAAAAATGCAAGCTATAAAAGCTTTAAGATTAAAACAGCACTTACTCAAATCCCACTAGAGTGAAATAACTGTTGCCGGAAATATATCAAAATATAACCTGCCTTTTCTTTGAGTGTCTTAGACAAAAATGTATATACAAATGAAATTTTTTTAACTTTTATATGAATATTAAACTGTTTTTACAAAGTAAGGTCATATCATACATTATTTGATACTTCTTTATTTATTGAGATTTATTGTTTTGAAAGACAATGATAGGGAGTTAGAGATAGAAAAAGTAACTTCCATCCATTCCATTTTCCAAATGGCCACAATTTCCAAGGTTGTTTCAGGCCAATGTCAGGAGCCCAGAACAGCATCTGCTGTCTAACACGGAATGCAGGAGCCTGAGTATTTTGGCCATTTTCACTATCCTCAGGCACATTGGCAAGGAGATAGCTCAGAGCGAAGAAGCTGGGTGCTGAAGCCATGCTCTAGCACGTGATGTTGCAGAGGCAGTTTAACTCACCACACCACAACACCGGCACACAGGTAACCACATAGAGTTCCCAACTATTTGTTCACTTCCCAGATGCCTACACACTGCCTGATGTTAGGCCAGGTACAGGGCAGTAGCCTGGAACTCAGTAAGTCTCCCATGTGAGTGGCAAGGCCCTAAGTATATTAGCCATCATCTATTGCCTTGTAGAGTACACATTAGGAATGGAGTTGGGACTTGAACAAAAGAACTCCAATGCAGGATGCTCGTGTCCCAAGCATTAGCCCAACCGTTGGGCCAAATGCCTGCCCCATCTTATTTATTTAAAAAAGCTAGGTAGCACATGTTAAATAACATCAGCTCAGGAAGCAATTCCTGTGGTTTCAACCCTACCTCTGCCATTTATCATTTACTTTAGTGCCCTACTAATCCATACTAAGAAAGTTTAGGGCAAATTACTAGGCCTATCTAAGTATTGGTTTTATCCTCTCTTAGGATAATAATCATTATATATCAGAGCTCTGTAATTCTCTGTATATATAAACAATACAACACATGAAAAGCATCCAGAACATTCCACAAAGCATAAAATTAAGATTAACAATAATATAAATTTAGATTTTTCTATATAGTCAAAATACTACATGATTACAAAATGGTCTATCATGCATACCAAAATTCATCATTTAAAAAAAAAAACTAATTATGAACTTTCAGGGAAATGTGTTGGCATAGCAAGCTAATTCTCCACCTGTGACACTGCCATCCTATATTGACACTGGTTTGTGTCCAAGCTTCTCTACTTCTGATACAACTCCCTGCTAATGGCCTGGGAAGGCAGAAGAAGGCCCAACTTCTTGGTCCCCCGAATACACCCGGAATAGACCCGGAAGATGCTCCTTCCTCCCAGATCTGCACTGGCTCAGATCTGGCTGTTGCAGCCATTTGAGGAGAGAACCAGTGATGGAAGATTTCTCTGTTTCTATCCATAACACTTTCAAGTAAAAATAAATAATAAATCTTTAAAAAATAAGAAAAAATAAAATGAGATTACTTGGTCAATATTTTTGCAAATTTTTGTAAATATTTCGATTTGTTACCTGAAAGTGCCCATAGCATATTTTAATACAGAAGTTACATACTGTTACAGGATCCATCTTTTCCTTAATGTTTTTTCCCTAGGCTTTTACGCTTAGGAAGACTAGCTTTATTTGTCTCTAAATTCAACAGTCACTTGTAATTATTTTGAGTTATTTTTATAATTTCATTTTTTATAATAGTTGCTCCAGTGGGAGTTTGCTTTGACTTAAGACGTGAGGCTCCAGTTAACAGATCTTCACTTGATGGAAGCCAGCACAGATCTCTGTAAAATCTGCTCTTTTCCACATACTAGCCTGTCAGTTCAGGAGCAAGTACAATGATCTCTTTGCAGACTTTCATAGCTTTCTTCGTACAGGTCTTCCTAGTACAGTACAGTTTCAAAGCATATCCATAAAACTATCCCATTAAAATAGTGAAAGAAAAAGTTATAAAGTATGACTTATGTGTGTGGTTCAATACGCTTAATTCTGTGCAGCTAGTACTTGAAACACTGTTTTCTGAGCAGAAATTATCTTGAATAACAGAGATCAGATAATAACCAGGAGATTGTGCAAAGCCAAAAGAGAGTCACTTTGGAAACAAAGTGTGAATTGCTAACATTTTGCCCTACTTCCAGTGTTGAATACCACAATTCATAAATATTTAAACTTACGGCAAAATTTGAGTACTAAAACAATGGTACATTTGTAAAAAGTTGGGACAAAGGCTATACAAACCAGAGAACTCAGCACTCCTAAATTCTAGCCCAAAGCCCTCTGATTGATGCTGAACACGGCAACACGGACTCATTGCTATCTGCGCTGCGGAAATTTTTCTTTGTAACTAAAAACTGTACAACTATCACAAAGTCTTTCTACAGCTAATCCATCTAAAATCAGACATCTGACTTATTATTAGAAACATGAGTCAATCAAACTTTTGCTAGCCTGACTCAGCTAAATAGCCCACCAACATGAGAAAGACCAAATGGCACATTTAACTGAACCGCTTTTAATGTGGTCAGAGAAATAAACAGTAAGACAAAAGTCATGAATTCCATTTTTGGCTGCCACACACAACCTAACTATTTGCAGCAGAAAATAGTTACTGCATTTTAAAACTGCTATTCTTCCAAAATGAACATAACTTTTGTCATTTCTTTATTTCTTTTTCCCATTTGAAAAACAAGTCTCTCACTGCTCGGGCCAAAAGGAAAAAGAACTAGCCAAGCTCCTCTGTTAAGCTCCAAAACCACATTCCAAGCTTAATAACAGAGGGGCTGAACACTTTATGGGCAGAAAGTCTGCATTTTTAATGGATGCCGTGAACACATGCCTTGCTTGCAGCTTGCATTATTTTCATTCTTTCATTAGTATAGTGTTTCTTCCACAAACAAAAAATTCCAAGAATACTAATATTTTCATAAAGATCATGCAATGAACTTGGAGAAGTCTCAAGTGCATCTTTAGCTATACTGTGAGAACAAATATTTTCCTCTGCTTGAGTGAATTATTCCTCCTGTCCCAATACCTTTTTGTGTAACTTAAAAGATAAATCAGTACATTTCGCGTTTTCTAGTATTGTTCAGAAGGAAAGACACATTTATTGCTTGAAAAACTAAACAGAGGCACTGATATTCAAACACTGATACTTATATGCAAACCTCCCCTTCCCCTGCCACTTTACTGTTCAGAACAAACTTCCAACTCCAGCTAAGCGTGAGTGCCCAACTGTTTGGGTGGAATGCCCATTAGGCAAATGTTACAGCGAATAACTTGTTGCCTTCTATATAAAGTATTTTCATCAGCTTAGCCAAACTTACAACTGGCTACATAGTTCATAAAACAGTGTCTATAATAAAAATTTTTTTAAAATCTAACCTGTTTTTAAATTAAAAATAAAAGTGTGAGGGATTTTGTTGCAGTAAAAAGAGCCAAATGGAGGAAGTTAAAATTAGCTGCAACCTTTGAGCAGGCCACAAGCCACTATCAAACAGGTATTTTTAATGAAGGCCTTGCTTAGTCACCAATGTAGTTCTAGGGATTAATAGAGCTTGTGTGTTTAAGGCATTGAAGGATTCAGGTCAACAAACTGAGTCATATTTGCTCAGGTAAAAGCTAAAAATATT